CCCCCCCCCCCCCCCCCCCCCCCCCCCCCCCCCCCCCCCCCCCCCCCTCCTCACACACACACACACACACATCCCCGCACAATTACACACATACACGCTCTCACACACACAAATCAACCTTGGCTCTTGACAGATCAAGTGGGACAACGGCCGAGGCCAACCTGCAAGCCTCATTGGTGAAGCGAGCCCGCGCCATCATGGCCCCTTTTGTCTTGCGGCGACTCAAACAAGACGTACGTGTTGGGGCTTGCTTTCCCAACAGACACAGCGGTCGAGGGAACGACCCAGTCCTCATTGATTGTTTTTTTTTTCGAAACCTTGTCCCAGGTGTTGTCGCAACTCCCTCCAAAGCGCTACCGCGTTATCGAATGTAGCATGACGGAAGAGCAAAAGTCAGAGTACCAGCGTCTCAAAGCAGAGGCCGAGGCTGCATCTGGTCCGTTGCTTCTTTCTCTCGCCCCCTTTTTTTTAAAAAAAAAAAAAAAATACCCGTCTTTTTCCTTCTCCTGTTGCCGCTGCATGGGCATTTGTTTCCCGCTGTGCTAACAAGCACTCACTGTATGGGACAGATTTGCGCAAAATGATGGAGGAAGCTACACGCGCCGATAGCAAGGCTAGCAGCCCTACACCAGAAGGCGAGGCCGATGCATTGGCCTCGGCCGCGGACCCTTCTGGGCGCACCAACAACGTGCTCATGCAGCTGCGCAAAATGGCCAACCACCCGCTTTTGCACCGCTGTCATTACAAAGACGATAAATTGGCTCAAATGGCGAAACAAATCTTGCGTGATCCACATTATGACGAATGCGACGAGCAGGCTGTCTACGAAGATATGCAAGGTACGTACGCACCTACCCATCCACCCGGCGTGTATGGCAGCCTCCTTTCCGCCTACTAAGAAAACAGAAAAATGCAGCATAAAGAAAAGACCACAATTATTTTTCTTACCTGATGGTGGCATGGTGCATCAGTCATGTCGGACTTTGAGTTGATGAAGCTCTGCAACAAGTCACGACCCTTGCAAAAGTTTCGCCTTGGAGACGAGGTCGTGGACGAGGCAGGCAAGCTCAAAGTGCTTGAGCACTTGCTGGCCCAGAAGCAAGCAGATGAAGCTCGCGTCCTCATTTTTAGCCAGGTAAAAGCCCATTTTTTTGTTCCCCAACCCGACCCAGAATAACTGAGATGCGTGACATGTGCGGGAACACCACATCTGTACCCTGCTTCTCTCATCCCTGCCCCCTTTTTGTAAATAGTTTACGACCATGTTGGACATTCTCGAGGATTTCTTGACACGGTGAGATCATGTGGCAGCTTCTGCTGTCTGAACTTTTTCTCCATGACTCATGCAAGCGTTTGTGCACCATCAACAGTCGCGGCTACGTCTTCATCCGCTTGGATGGCAGCACGCCGGTGTCCGAACGGTGCGTGCCTGTAGCCTTGTTTGCGCAACCCAGTGCGAGTCATTTGCAGCAAGGTGTGTGCACTGTAGCTTACCCCAACTCCTTTCCTCACCATGGTGTGTCTGCACGAACGTGTTCAGACAAGACCTGATCGATCAGTTCAATGAGGATGAGGAGATTTTTGTCTTTCTTCTGTCCACCCGCGCTGGAGGCTTGGGCATCAACCTCACCGCGGCCAACACCGTGGTCCTTCACGACATTGACTTTAACCCGTACAATGACAAGCAGGCTGAGGATCGGTACGTCGCTTTGATTTTTCAACGTTGTCCGCTCGAAGCGATACTCGAAGGCAGAGGTTGTCAGGTCATGGCGATCCTGCTATACCCATGTGCGCACACTCCCGTGCACGAAGACCGTCTGTCTGACACTCACGCTTCAAACTCCTTGTTCATTGCGTCCTGGCCGCGCCCTGTTCCCCAGATGCCACCGGGTAGGCCAAACAGATAACGTCGAGATTGTGCGCTTAATTGCCGACGAGACCGTAGAGGTGGACATGCAGGCCAAAGCCGAGGCCAAGTTACAGCTGGAGCGCGATATGACTGGTCTTAAGAAGGATGACGCACACATTGTCAAAGTCCAGAGTAGCCAGGAGTTTTTGGCCACGCCCAAGAGTGACAAGTAGGCGCCGAGTGCCTTGCCATGTCCATGAAGCATCTAGGCTTTGGGTCCAGGCATTGTCGCCCTGCATGTTTTGTGTTGGTATCGTTGCTGCGTGCGTTTTGGTGTGAAGCTCCCGCAAAGCAGAAAGCTGTGGCTTGTCGTGCAGTCATAATGGCATGAATTGCAAAGCCTTAGTCATCAATTCCAAAGGGCAGCCTTTGCTCAATAATCATCATCATATTCTTCTAGCTTCCTTGTGCGTACGCAATCTGTTCTCAGGTCGTTTTCTGGGGTGCTTTGGCACGCTTGCTCGGAGTGATGGCCACATCGCAGCCACATTGTGAGCAAAAACGGTCACCTGGGCGTCGGGCCTTGCCACAGCCTTTACACATTTGCTCGCTGTTGGATCGCTTCAGCGACGGGGCCTTGCTGCTTCTGCTCGAGCCTTTACCCAGCAAGGCTGCCGATAGTGCTGTGCGAAGGCAATTCAAATTGAGTCGGCAGGGCTCAATTCAACCAGCGGCCAACATGCGACAGACCTACCGTCTTGCCCGCCGGCACGTGGGCGACGCGGAGGTGGAGTGGTTCGCGTCGGTGCGTTCTTGCTAATGCTGCTTCGTGTGGGGCTGCTGTGCACGGTATGCACGTGCTTTTTGACGTGCACAGCCTCGACGTTTGCACGTGGCTCGATACCCAATAGCCTGACCAGATACGTTGGCGCGACAGACGATGGGTGAGTTGCATGGCCACGCAATGATACATTGCAGCGCATGACGTACCGCTGCACATTGGAGGGCCGGCCTTTGCCAACGTTTAGATCGTGTTGCTGTCGCTGGTCTCGGGTGGTGCGGGCAAGGGTACGAAGGTCTTTGGCAGTAGCCACCTTGGTGGTCAGGTCTGGGTCAGAGCGTTGCTGGACCGCACGCGAAAGCGCTTGCTTTAGACCAGCTTTGCTGTATGTTTTTGTACGCGGAGGATCGTGGGTGGCAGGTCGATGCGGGGTAGGTGCAGTGTGAGCCCCGAGGTGCATGGCGGGCGTGCCGTTGAATGAGTGCGGATAGGGACCGTGATTGTCTCGTCTTACTATTGGATGAAACAGTCACGCCAGGTCTGGTCGGCAGGCTTCTCACGGCGTACGCGTTCGGAGAGCTTGTCAAGGCAGATCTACATTCAAGTGTGACAACCGTGAGCATGTCCAACCACAGTCATCAAGCCGTGCGATGGGGAGAAATTGCGGTGTTTGACGCCGGCGCTCGCAGGGCGGGTTCAAACCTCGCGCCAGCGATGGTCTACTTGACCCAGCAGGTGAGGGTTGGCGTTCTCGATGCGTACGAGGTCACTGAGGTGAATAACAAATAAAAAAAAAAAAGAAAGAGAAAATGGGTCAGAATCCTAAGCAACACTTAAGATGCAGTGGGATTTGCGCGCTTTGATTGGTAACAGAGGGCCCTTACATCTCATCGCAGGCCTCGAGAACAGGTCGCATTAGGTCAATGGGTACACGGTCGCCGACTTCTTCGATGTCATGCCGTAAGCTGCGCCGCGAGCATCACCGTGTAATGAGCAGTAAGTATTTGAAGTGAGTGAGTGCGGCTGTGGTGCCTGATCACCAAAGACACCGGGTCCAAACGAGGTGTGTGCCAAGAGGGAGGGAAAGAGAGGTACGGGCGAGGCATATTTCAAAATGAGGATAAGGCCTGAGCACACGGGTTCAACAAAAACAGTACCTGATGAGGCGTTCCAAGCAGAGATCCTTGAGTGTGGGGATGCCCATACGCATCGATGGTTTGGCAAGCGAGGTGGGCAGGGGTCGCTGTAAAGCCTTGGTGGGCTTGGTACCGTGCGGTTGCCGGGGTGAGAATGTGGCCGGGGTGGGGATAGGTGGCGTAGACCCGGCGGCGTGCGATGTGGGCGACGAGGAGGCAGCGGCTGAAGTAGGCACGGAGCCGGTGCTATCTGCGGTTGTGGGGGCTGTTGATGGGCGCGGCGCCGCACGGGGACGGACGCGACCGGGCAGTGTGGGGCGGCGCACACTGTTGTTGTCCTTGCGCTCCTTATTTACGGGGGCAAGCAGTCGGGTGGTGGAAAAGTCACGCAAAGATGTCGGCTCGCTGGTCTGGCCGGATATGCCATGCCGTACAGCTTGAGAGCTCAGGCGCTGCCGCTCCTTGAGGATGGCTTGTTTGAGCTGCATGTTCATCAAGGACAGATTTGCCTGTGGCAAACGAGGAGCCTGACATGCAAGTCCAATGTGAGGTGTCTCGAGACCTGGTCCTTGGCTGGATGGTGCAGCGCCGCTTACTTGGTCGCGACTGGCACGATTCATCCAAGTCGAAACAACATGCTTGATGGCTTTGCGCACGGGCTTGCGCTCTACGCACACGGCCAGATCAGATAAGTGGTGTAAATACCTGACGCACGACAGGGGCAGCTCAATGTCGAAATGTGCGAGCGCTTTATGCAACAGGCGACCGGTCTTACTCTCCGCTTGATGAAGGGAGGTGAGGTGGGCGATGAGGTCTGTGTCAATGATCATGGCGCTGGAGACGTGCACGTCTTTGGCCAAGAGTGTGCAGGCAGCCATGCAGTTCTTCTCGGGCAGGCCTTTCTCCACGCCAACGCTGATCAGCGCCAAGTTGCGGGCCGTCGACTCATCCAGCGGTCCATTGGCTGCCATCTTGCAGATCCAGCACCGCGCGAGTTGGCAGTAGCACCCACAACACTCTTGTCCCCGTCGTTTTGCTCTCCCTCTCCAAGAAAGTGAGTGAGTGAGTGAGTGAGTGAGTGAGTGAGTGAGTGAGTGAGTGAGTGTGAGTGAGAGTATGTGAGTGTGAGTGAGTGAGTGCGGGTGTGAGTGCGTGAGTGCGGGTGTGAGTGCGTGAGGGCGTGAGTGAGTGAGTGTGAGTGAGTGTGAGTGCGTGAGCGAGAGTGAGTGCGGGTGTATCTGAGCGAGGGCGCGAGGGCGTGTGGCTCGGCAGAGCGCGCTGGCGCTGAGTTCCAGATGTCATATAATATCTGACAATAATACTTTGTGAAGTATTTTACGCTGATGATGAAGAAGATTAGCCGATTCAGTAAGGTCTACAACGTTAAATATACTTAAAAGATGACGCAGATAACTGCCTTTTATTCGTGTCTTTTCAGAAAATTTTTTTTAACGAATTTTTCAATTTTTTTTTTTTTTTTTGGGAGACAGCGCGAATCTCTGCGTGCTCGTTCCTTCCTGCACTTCTCCCGAACGAGCCTTGTTTCTTGTCTTGGGGTGCTGATGATGGTGGTGATCTGACTTGGAAAACTGTTAGGTGCACTTGATCTGTGAGTGGGTGCGGTAACGACTGTGGACGGGTTGGGGTGCGAGGCTTTGAGGCGTGGAGCGAGCACCATGGCTGGATCGGGGGCAGCGGCAATAGCGGCAGGGACTGCGTCTCCGTCCATCAAGTCTGCGTCAACTGGGACCTCATACGACGGCGCCGGGGCACCTGTGGTGATTCCCATCAAGTTTGCTTTGTGTGACAACGTGAGCACCATCTATCGCGAGATGACGCGCCTCTTGCGCCACGAGTTTGGCGCCAAGCGGATGAAGGGCACCAGCACCCGCCTCGACCTCTTGCTCGGCGACCGCAACAATCCGCCATACTTTCGCATGGGCATGATGGCAGCCACCCACGGTGGATTACCGCCGCTCATCAACTTTTATCGCGGCAATGACCGTCTCTGTCAAAAGGCTAAGATGGCCCAGCTGCTGCAGGGGGGGACAGCGGCAGCCGTGGCATCAGCGTCTACGGCGCCCAAGGGGCACACATCTGTGCAAACTCTGACCAGCGCACGCCGTCAGGAGCGCGGTAGTGCCCCAGCACTGCTGGGCGTAGCGAGAGCTGCTTCAGGACAGACACCCCAAGAGCGCGGTCGACAGACCCGGCGACAGAGCGAGCAAACGGAAACGCCCATCAGCGCCGTCAGCACCACATCAAACCACCGCAATCGCCTGATAAATGGTGCAGACCACTCTGACAGCGAGAGCAGCATGAGTAGGACCAGCCGGACTGGTGCTGAAAGCGTGCCCATGGCAAAGTCGACTTCTTGCAGTCGCCCCACCAGTGCTCGAACCCGCAGTGGGCTGCTCAAGGTGACCAGGGCGCCACCACAGCGACCAACTTGGCTCCCGGAGACATACACCGTGCGGGGACAGCGCACGGAGCAGCCAGACCATGAGCGTGACTTGCTTTTGCTGGCCCACGCGCAACGTCCTCGCGTTTGGATTGCCAAACCCACCTGCGGCTGTAAAGGGGAAAATATTTTGATTGACGACAACCTCCCGCGCCTGCTCCAGGCCATGGATCATTATCGCTTTCTATTTGTCGTGACCGAGTATTTGCTCGAGCCCCTACTGCTCACGCCGGGTGGACGCAAGTTTGATCTGCGACTTTGGGTCCTTTTGGACCCCCAGTATGAGGCCTTCATTTTTGAAGAGGGCGTTCTGCGCACAGCCTCAACACCCTACACGGCCGACAGCTGGGATGATGTAACACAGCACTTGACCAACCACGCGATCCAAGAGGTTCACGCCCAAGATTACGAACGGTACGAACCGGGTAATGAGCTCTTTTTCCCCGACTTTCGCCTCTGGCTTCAAGAGCATCGCGGCGTAGACTTTGATGAGGAGGTCATGCCACAAATGGCACAAATTATACATCAATGTTTCGATGCACTGCGCCCTTCCTGTCAACTACCGCCCGGCCACGCTTACCACAGCTTTCAGCTCTTTGGGTTTGATTTCATGTTGGATGCCGCTATGAAGGTATGGCTGATCGAGGTCAACGGCGCCCCTGCGGCTGCCGCGCGGTTGACTACGCCCATTGCCCATGACCTTTGTCTGCACGTGGCCCAGTACTTTGGCTTTGTACGACATCCCAAGACCCGGTTCAAACCGGTCCTGGACTTGATGTGATGTCTGGTGCGAGCAGCGCGGTTGTGCTTCTGCTTTTGTTCCGCGCCACAGACGCCGGCCAGCTGCTGTGCGGCTAGCCAGCGGAGGTGTTCACTGGTGTACTGGCTGGGGACAATGAGTCTACCTGGAGTGGGCGGTTGCGGGCATGAGGTCCTGAGAATTGAAACGAATCTTTCTTCATGGATTAGGTTGACACCCGTGCCGTAGGACAGCAGGTGCGCAGCACCAAAAAAAAAAAAAAAAAACAGAATAAAACAGACTCATTGAAGAATTGCATTTCTCGGCCTGCGTGGTGCAATATCATTCAAGAGCAGAGCATGTCAAAACAGATGGCTTCGCTTAAAGAGGAGAGCAGAGGTGGCTCCATCGAAAAAACAAACAACGACACCTAAAGCAACGTGGCGCTTAGCGCCTCGCCCTCATTTTGGCGCTGACCGCGCAAAGTGAAGGTGCGTGGAGAACGAGTGTGGTGCGCGGGGCTAGTTGCAAGGGCACACCCAAGCATCATGTTCAAGATGGGCGTGCCTGCGCAGCCTGCTGCTCATCGCGAAAGACGGCGGCCATGGTGTCCAATACATTGTCTGGCTGCTCGAGGTACAGGCGCTCAATCACTGCCTGATACAGGTTGTCAAAAGGTTACGCGTGAGAATTGGCTCAGGTGAGCGTCAAGGGCAACCATTGGCGCAGGGTCAAAAAAGGCCTTGACAAACCTCAAACACACGGCGCACGCCCTTGTCTTCAAGATATTGCTCGAGCTCCTGGCGGTCGTAGGCAGGCGCTGGCTTTTTACGCTCGGCGGCAGACGTGGAAGGACGGGTATCCTGATTGATGCTGGCCAACACTTCTTGTATCCTGTCATGCTCAGGGCCTGCTTCGAGCGGCGTCTTTGTCTCATCTGCAGGCGCTTGCTCAACGGGTTCAAAAGGAATAGCAGCCCGTGCACTAGATTGTGGATCTTGGTCGCTTGCCGGCGCCGACGCCTCCTCCAGCCCCTCGTCGCGCGTTGTGTCCGGTCTCACAGCCTCCATTGCGTCCGACTTGTCCACAGCATGAGCGTCACCCACCGCCAATTTCAAAGCATCTGTGACCGTGGCAACTGTAGCTGGCGCGTCTGCAACTGACGCATCTGCAGGTGGCGCATGTGGATCTGGCGCGTCTGTAGCTGGCGTATGTGTAGCTAGCGTGTCTGCAGGTAGTGCATGTGGAGCTGGCGCGTCTGCAGGTGGCGCATGTGGAGCTGGCGCGTCTGCAGCGGGAGCCGGGGTGGCTGTTGTGCTCGTTTCGCTCGGGCTCGCCATCATCTGAAAAAACACAAAAAAAAAACCAAAACTGCTCAACGACAACAATCATCTGACATATATATGTCTGACAAACACGGATTTCCGCTGCAGTACTCAATGTCGTGTGGTAGCAGTGCACATCTCCAAAGCTTTTGTAGTGAAATAAAGAGTTTGTGTAGATATTAGCCAATTAGTATAGGAGTGAAGCATAATTTAACGTAGAAGATCTGGTACTTTATGTGACACGATTTTTCACAGGCTTTTAGTTGCCATTTTTCATGCGATCGAATCACACAGTACGTACGTACGGGGACGAGCCAGCAAGCCAGCGAGAGCTGCACGCGCGACGTGTGTGTGTGTGTGTGTGGCTTGAGGGGTACAGGATGATCTCAGCGGTTCAAGCGATAGGGTGGTGGGGCTGGAGCGATACCAGTCGTATCTCTGAGAAGAAGATGCGCAGATGCAGAGCAATGGAATTTGGGAAGAGCCGGGGAAGGACCTCAGATTTAGTGAGAGGAAGGGGCAGTCAGACAGACTGGGCGATTGCAGTGCAGATCACGTTGTGGTCGTGGCAGCGTTGTCGCTGCGGGGTCATGAGTGCATGGACGACCAACTGTTTGTCCAGCACATCGGCACGTTGCACTCACCATGCCTGACTTTTTGTTCATTGAAACAGGCCAGTGATCTCTCGGTGTGCTTCACATCACCGGACTTCTCGCAAGCAGGAAGCTGCCATCAGCACAATGTGAGCGCGCTTTCTGGACGCTCGACTCATCGCCTTGGTGACACTCTAGCATGCAAACCAGATGTAACTCACTAATGCTATTGAACTTATTTGGTCTGTTCGAGGCTTGCAGGGCGCAACAAAAGAATTCATTCGACGTGAGCTCCATTCCTCTGCCGACCGGTTGGCAGGTCGGCAAGGCGCCCAATGGCAAGCCTTTCTTCCTCAAGTAAGCCATGGTGACTGAGATCAGAAGAGCTTGCACCGCCGACCACCCGACCTCAACTCCAAACGCACGCTCACCCGTCCCCTCGCTCAGCCACAATGACTTTTCTACTCATTGGTGCCATCCACTGTTACTGCATCACGGTTTGTGTCAACATGTCCGAGGTCGCGGCTCTTTTTTTGACTTTTGAGTTGCTTGCCTTGACTTTTCGTGTCCGAGTACCGCATGGCACCTGACTTCAATTTGCGCGGCAACAGACCTGCCACCTGGCTGGGAGAACATCGAAGATGGAGATGGCAACATTGTCTACTACAAGTCAGTCACAATCGTGCTCTGCCGCGTCGTTGTGGTTTCTCCCCTTTCCAAGGTCGGCTCACTCGCGTCCGGCGTTTGGGTCACATCTCACGTAGCCACAAAGATCGCGTGACTACACGCTTTGCTCCTGATGTGCGCACGACTGACGGTGCCACCCACCAATCGGCACTGCATTGGTATGTTGTTCTTCCTTTTCTCCTGCTCTTTCTCTCTCTTGTCTCGCCCCAATACCAGCGCACACGGCTTGCGGTACGGCTCAGTAGCCCATTCTTTGCCCTCTATACTTGCAGCCACATTCTGCGCTTGGCCGGTGAGGGTGACGCAGACACCTCGACGGTGATTGAGCTTGATGAGAAGCGCTTTCCCTGGATCAAGGCTCTCCTGCACGACCCGGCTGGTGTGTACTCTCAAGCCCTGCTGTGAAGGCCTCGAAGCGGGTTATTTCAAAGCCGATTTCGTCTGACCTTTCCCCATCTCATCTTGAACTATCTGCGTGCAGAGATTGGCCCTACCATTGCCTGGGACTCGCTCTCTGCCGAGGACATTGATGATGTTCTCTTTCAGCTGTCGCAGGCACACCTGCTCCGTCTGCGTGAGCTTCAGGAACAGGACAAGGGTTTCAATGCCATGGAACGAGCACGTAAGCGTCTGAAGCAAGCCCGTGAATATGTGTGCTGGCAGGGCGCCCGCCGTAAAACCCTGATCTAAGCTCAAAGCTCAGCCCAGCTCGTTGCTAGAGCATCTTTAACTTTCTGTCAATATCCCTCCCATCCTTGGCTAAGCTGTGTGCGAATTTACACTCTTGGTTGGTTGAGCCTGCACCAGGGAATTTTTACCAATCCAGCCCAAAAGCATATTTACAAACAAACTACGTACAGTCACAAAAGCAAAAACGGGAGATTCGTCTTGTTGTACAAGTCCTGTTGGACTTCTCTTTGCCACGCAACGCAATCGAAGAACAATGCAATGCAATGTGTTTCAATTCATCTAGCATCTGTTGGGGTTAAAAAGTGCGTGTAGACAAGAGCCAACAAGCAGGCTGCCCCCTTCAGGCGAACTCATCCATATGACACCCAACTTTTTATGTTGGGCTCTCACTTTCGCGCTGTGAGTCAGGGTCATCTCGTGGTGGGAGCTCAAAACCCGAACGAGAAACGCCCTGTTCCCATCTGGGTAGCCATGCTTTTCTGTACTCTGATTCACATGTCGACTCAGAGCGCACCAGACGTTGCATCAACAACTCGCATCAGAGTGCAATGAGGCACAACAATGTAGGAGAAACAAAGGTGGTAACAATCATTTTAAATGTCAGTACACAGCAAGACAATCCCATGATAAATGTGATGGACGCGGTTTAGCCCTTGATGCCACGGCCCGAGTCTTTCTTATTGGAGCAATGGCACAGCAGGCCAATCAAGAGAGCCAATACACCCTGTACCAGATGCAAAGAGACAGCGTCAGTGCTACGTAGCATCAGATCGAGTGGACAGGACGGCTAGCGCCTCTTTGTATGGAGGTGATCGATCGTACCAAGCCAATCAAAAGCCAGCCATAGTTGGGAATGTAGGCATCGGTGCGCAGGGCCCAATTCAAAATGTCATCCACGGAGAGATTGCTACACATCCCAGGCAATGCGAAAAGGTGAGCCAAAAGCAAGTCGAGCCCTCTGCAATTCGCCCTGTCTGAGCTCGTACCGCAAAAACTTCTCCACATCGTCAAAAGCCGTGCGGCCACCTTCAGCTGATTCACAGTTGCCTGAAGTGCAATCAAGAATGGGGGCGAACCGTTATTGATGCCACCCAGGGCCACAGGGCTAGAGCATGGGAGATGAAGCGAAAAAGCATACCTTCGGTTGTGCAGACACCAATACGAACATCGCCGTTGTCACCCACGTAGTTGCACTTGGCTATTGAAAAGGAAAAGAATAAGCAGAAGAAGACCAAAGAAAAGAAAGGGCAAAAAAAAAAAAAAAAAAAAAAAAAAAAAAAAAAAAAATACGTCGATGAGGACAGAAGGAGGCATCGATGAGATCGAATATGGGACGACGGAAAAGAAATCACGTACAGCCAGGGCTGCGGTCCAGGCTTTGCTTGGAAAAGCCGGCGTCGGAAGAGCCGGAACGCAGGGTCGGGTTGTAGGCAAGGGCCGCGTTGACGTTCTCCAACAGCTTGACCTCACCGTCTTCCACGCATGAAACCTTGCACTGGTTCTCCGTGCTGAAAAAGCCCTGTGCATCGCGCATGCATTGATGAGCCATGTGTCCCACACAAACCAGCGCGTTGGAGCAAGATGTCATGTCGAGGATGGCCTCTGACAAACCTCCTCAAGACCGAATGCGTCACAGATGGAGAGCGTGCAGCGAGTGGTGTCACCACTGCCGGTTTCAGAGCACATTTTGTCCTTGTAAGAAGCGCTACAGTAGGTGGACTCGACATAATAATCAGCTGCGGGGCATTCTCCAGTCGTGCAGGTGGCTACGCAAAGGAGGGTGTTGTGAAAGCAGCACATGAGAAATGGGAAACTTCGGCCCCCCCGCCCCCCCCTATTCGCCCTTGCAAAGGTCAAGTACATGTTGCACTCGCACCTTCACGAACACACTGGCTTTCTTCGCGGCAGACAAAGCCATCATTCTGGAAGCTGCAGTCGGACTTGCAGCAGGCGCCATTGACGGTGTGGAACGGCGAGCACTGCTTGCCAGCTCGCAAATTGCAGTTGTCGGCGCTGCCTTGGGAGAACACGTTGCAGCACTCATCTGCTGCAGGACAACCAGAGGCAGTACCACAATCGCACTCCTCATCACCTTCCTGCACCAGATTACCGCAAATGGAGGCATCGCTGTCGACAAAGCAACCGCCCTTGGCCTCAACTACGGCCGTCATGAGACTCTTGGACTCGGGTGAGAAAAGGAAGTTGTTCGACTCAGATCCGTCGACCGAGACGGGGTACATGAGATACTCGCCATTGGCACTGCCGGAGGGATCATCGTGGGTGCTACCAAAGTTGTGACCGATCCTGCAGGGCGATTTTTGTTTTTGCTTGTGAGGAATAGCAGAGCACAAACTCGTTTGGGCGGATTGGGGCCCACAAGAGCTGGCACGTACTCATGGGCAATGACGAGCCAATGGGTCAGTTCAGGCACTGCGGAGCCATAGTTGAGCGTTGTGCTGAAGGCCGTATTGGTGTACACATTGCTAGACTTTTTCTGGCAGATGCCGCCTGCGATACCGAGTCATTAGTGTGGGTGAGCACGGAGCAGCATGAATCGCCACCGTGGCAATCGAGCACAAAATGGGGCAATGCTAGCAGCGCCGAGATGACTTGGATGCAAGCACCTACCAGGGGTCGAGTCGGCACGGCCGAGGTAGGCGAGACCGAGGAGACCATCCGAGAACTCTGTGCGACAGTGGGCAAACGAGTGAAGGCATTGCTATGCTCTTGCCTTGTAGCAACCAAAAAGGGGCACCTCAAGTTGGCTCGAACCTTGGTGGGTGACGAGATGGGCCAGGCAATAGTCTTCCCAGTTTTCGCCGGCAAAGTTGTGCAGAAAGTCTTCACCCGATGTAGTATCGAGCACAAAGCGCTGATCAGAGCTAGAAGTGATGACCTGTTGAAGTAGACGGGTGTACAAACGGGGCATTATACATGGTCAGATGGCCGAAAAACCGGGGCCCGGATGGTCACAGGGAGCGCAGACAGCAACATGTTGACAGGCCGAGCACTGCACCAACCTCGATGCGGCCAATCTTGATGCCAACGAAAACGCCATCAGCTTCAATGTTGTTGTCCTCGTAGAGTTGCTGGACATTGCTGAAGGAGCTGACGAGGAGTTCGACGGTGCGACCGATATCGCTGTCGCCGTCGCTGCTGCTGGTGTAAAAGTTGCGGTCGGCAATGACGGCCACGTCGCAGGCCGTGCGCGAGTTGTCAAAGGGATCGCGGCGGTGGCGCGTAGTGGTGTTGTTGCGGAAGAAGGGGACGGGTTTGGCGGCCTCGGGGTCTTCGGGGCCGTCAAAGGTCATGACCTTGCACGAGGAGTGGTTGGGGCTCACGGGGTTGACGTGGTCGGAGAGGCGGTAGACGACGTGCTCGTCGTGCTGGGCGTTGTCAAAGTGCCAGGCAGCCGGTTCGACAGCGTACATCTCCGTGGGGGTGATGATCTGTGCAAAGCACGAGCCGTTCTTGTCGACGCGAAGGTGGAGGTGGGAGGCATCTGGATATTGGGCAACGTAGCCACGGTAGAAGGAGAGGTGGTCGAGGCTGTAGGGGCGCTCACCCTCCTCATGGACTTCGATGATTTGTACGCGATCGGAGAAAAGCTCGGTATTGGGCTGGACGATCAAGGTCAGCTCCCTGTGTTGAGACAGCGCGATGGCCCGCGGGTGGGTGAGAGGCGAATGGCCGATGGGCAATGGCTTGCGGGAGTTGAGGAGTGGGAGTGGGAGCGAGCTGATGAAACACCACCACCACCACCACCACCACCACCAACAACAACAACAACGTACTCATCGTAGACGGGAATGTTGAGGGAAAAGCTACGGGTCTTGGGGGTGAGATCACGCGTGTAGCGGGACGGCGTCGTCACCTGGTCGGGATGAATTCGGATGCGCTGAAACTTGTTCACCCGGTCGTTGAGTGCGCCGCTGCTAGCAGCTAGTGATGAGGGCAAGCAAAATTCTGATGAGCCCAGGAACAAGGGGTGCGGGGGATGAAGGTGTGATGCCAGGTAAAAAGCCAGGGGCATTCAACGTACGGTTGGCCACGGCCACGGCCACGAGGCCGGCCAGGGCAACGAGGCAAAACTTCATGATGGCGCGCAAAACAGGTCCTAACCAAGGCGAGCAAATCAAGACGATTGAGAATCGGGCATGGGCCATCGCAAGCGCGCTATTTCCCACCCACGACTCGAGGGCAAGGGCCCCGAGTATGAGGAAGAAAGAGAGAGGGAGAGAGAGGAAGAGAGAGAGGAAGAGAGAGGGCGAGGGCGGGAAAGGGGCGGGACCTGCACACATCTGCACTGTCCTCTCTCTCTGATCCCTAACGACTGTGCCAGCTTGGCAGTCTCATGATCCACCCCGTCCTCACATCCGTCTGCCAAACCAGTGGGGCAGACCACGACAAAACCTTTGCCCCACCCCACCCCCCTTGGCCTTGGCCTTCTTCGTTCTGTCGTCGCTCGCTCGTTCGGCTCTTTGCGTGCATCGGTCGGTCGGTCTGGACCCACCTCGTTGTCACTCGCGCTTGCAGGTTTTGAAAAATAATATAAAATAAGAGAGAGTGTGAACGCGATTGATTTATTGGGAGAGAGAGGGGTTGATCTTGGTATACAATGAAGAGAGTTGAAGGAAACAATGATAGATGCACTGACTTTACAATGGGGTTTTAATGATACTGCAGAGAGCCAATTGTCAGCCATGACCAATTCCAGAGATTCTTCAAGTGTGTGGAAAGAAATCAGAGAGAGGCGCGAGCGCAGGACGGCTTGCCCATGCTTGGGTAACACCACCGCCCCCTTCGTTCGACCTGACAACCGTTGGTCGCTACTGCACTTCTTGGTCGCGGTGTCGTGGTAAAACAGGCGCACACTTGATCCGTCTCTCAGGGACAAATGCTTTATCATCAGGCGGGTCCGTCTTCGTCGTCGTCGTCGTTTTCGTCGTCGTTTTCGTCGTCGTCGTTCTTCAGATCGCGCTGCCCTTTTGCGTGTATGGTAAACAGGAGAGCGGGCAAAGGGCGAGACAGGTGTAAGACTCGAGCTGGCGTCGTCGTTCAGCGCCATCACACCTTACGACTGACCAAAACCGTTTTGGCGTCACACATGTGCTGCATTTGGGTCATACCTATATGGGGGTGTTCAAGGTAAAGTTAAGCTATGGCATCACACGTGAGGGGTGAAAAGGGTACACGGGCAAAGAGCATGCGAAAGGGGAGGACTGCTGGGAACTAAACGTAAAGTCCGATTTATGGTACACTATGGTAATGTTCCGTCGTCATTAGGCTGGTGTGCACACCCTCACGGTTTACTGCAACAACTCGGGGTTAAAGTAACGTTATCACATTACTATGCAGCACAAACCCCTTAAATTACTCCATTAACTGTGGTAGCACCTGTTTTACTGTTCTCAACACCTGTAGTTGCCAGAGCATCAAGTATTTGTCAGACAATGTCAATCAACAAAAGCAGTCGGGCAGCGTCATCGCAAACTTGGAAACGGCAGCGCCGCAGTCGGGCTCCTCCGATTCACTTGCTCCCGTGCTTGGCGTAGTCTGCTGATCTTGCATAGACGGTGGTGATTCTGGTCGGTCTCTCTGCTGTGCCGACGTGGCAGGGATCTGCTAGCTGCACTTCTCTCCTCTCTGATTCAGCGACCCTCTGCAAGATGGAGTCTTACGCGGCTGATGGCGCGACGGCCATGATGGCAGCTGGCGCGTCAGGGCCGGCGCCAGGGTTTTGGGAGTGGGTACAGGGCGCAGAGTGGACCATTCCTGACTGGACAACAATTCTGTGCAATACGCTTCGCCTCACAGCCGCGGGTGCTGTCGTTCTGGGCACTGTTGCGCTGGCCTGGGCCCTGGCCTACTACCTCTTGCTGTGGCAGGTGAGCAGTGCGCCCGAGACCCGCCACAGCTTTCGCGTATGCACTCATGTTTTTGAACATCCATGTGCTAGGTCCCCCTCTTTCGTGAGCTGATTGGAGCCAAGCCCATTGGCAAGGGATATGCCTCTGATCAAGAGCGGCAGCGCCGCCCGCGCACGGTCTATCGTGACCCCCAGGCTGCCCGAGACACTTAGATGGGTTGATCTTTGCTTGTCGTTCAGTCATTGACGAAGAAAAGATGAGGCCTTTTGGTTTTTCTTCTCCTTGTTCGATGTATCGCGTGAATCCGTGTGAACCCGCGTGTACCAGCAGTCACCACTTGCCCCTGCGGGGCCCAGAATGACCTGCCCTGGTGTACATATCTACAGTCAAAGTTCTTGTGTTCCGTCTATGCTCGCACCCCTGTCACCGTGTCCCCTTGAGTGAGCGAATCGACGCTCTGTGCCAAGGAGCATGTTCATCGTTGTGCTACTCCCATGTTCGTGCCGGCCCGGAAGTACGACCAGCCCAGTGCTGCACAGACAGGGACAGAGATACGGAGATAGAGAGACGGAGAATTGGAGACATGGTGATCCAGGCCGATACATCGCACAGTGGCAGGGGGAAGACCAGGCCCTGACACCAATCATGTGAAGAGCTGCAGAGAGACAAGAGCAGCCACAGCTCCAGACAGACACAGGCACAGACACAGACACAGACACAGACACACAGACACACAGACACACACACACACACACACACACAGACACACACACACACACTCACACACAGACACACAGACACACAGACACAGACACAGACACACAGACACAGACACACAGACACACACACAGACACACACACAGACACACACACACGCACAGACACACACACACGCACACACAGATGTCAGATATTTTCCATCCTTGTCTCTATCTATCTTTAGAAATGGACGGGTCGACCCGACGGACGACGACGACGACGACGACGCTGGAGAGTAGTAGTACGGTCGCGGCAGCGGTGATTGCGGCGCATGGTGTTATTCGACGACAGCTGCAGTATCAGCGGGCAGAGCCGCAAGGAGCAGCGGGGCGCAAGGATGATCTGAGCCTTGATGCGGCCGTGGCACGGGAACACTCGCTGCCCGCAGCTCAACTCGACCGGGTCATTGATGAGCTCACCACGTGTCGGCGCTTGTTGCTTTCGGCCGCTCATGATTCCGTGGCGTCGGTCCTCGCGCGCCATCATGGTTCGCTTCGCCTCTCTTGCATCACAAGTCGCCTCTTCGGGCTCATCCATCCAAAGAAAGCACACTTTGAGAGGCACGGTCGGCGCTGCCACACCAGTCTCACTGGCACATGACGCGCTCTGCTTGCTTCAGATTTGCTGCTCCTCGAGGTGACGCCCGCCATCGGGGCAGCATTGGACTTACCGACGGCTCAAAAGCTTATCGATGATCTTCTCCTTCACCACGCCCTTGACGTTCCCGTTCTCTTGCTTCAAGCTCTTACGCGCGTCATCAAGGCACCTGGGTGCGTGCCATGACTTTGGGGCTTGCCACACACGTCACGGCTGGCGCTCATCGGTCGTTGGATCCGCCATTGCAGCAGCGCGAGTCACGCCCAGCAAAAGCGGTGTATCCGCCGCCTACTCAGCACAGCCATTCAAGAGCGGGACCTTGAAGCCGAGCTGCTGCACAGCCCCTTGGTAAGCCCCGGTCCAAGGCATCGTGTGCTCGGAAGCATTCGGGCTCATTTGCTCCCTGTGCATTCGGGTCTGCCCTGACCTTGCACCAGGCGGCACAGCTGCACGAATTCGATCGTGTCCTCGTCAACTTTCCCGTCAACTATGCCAACTATATGCGGGGCTCGGTTGGACCCGAGCTTTCTGTGGCGGCCTGGCAAGATCGCCTCGCCCGCGCGCTTGGCCCCTGCTTACTCGACCCGGCCCCAGGCACCCACAGCGTGAGCCTGCGCCCCCTGGCTCGCCCGCCATAGGAGTTTGACCCACGTGTGCGCGTGTTTGGCTGTTCACGTGCTCACACCTGCAATCTCATTGTCACACAGTCGTACTGGACGGCGACCGCCACCCGCTTGTTGGACCATGGCTTGACAGCTGCGCTCCTGGCAGGCATCCTTGCTCAACTGCCCCACAATTTGTCGGCCTGGCCCCCCCTCCTGACCAAGCTTACCAATCTGCATGCTCGCAAGCTTCTTCAGGCCCTCTTCAACACCATCAAGACGTACGGGCTCGCCGCCCGCATCACCGCTTGCTCACGGTTGGGGGCCGGGGAAAGGCCCACCCATGCTTCTCGCGTCCTTGTTTGGCTCCCTGACCATGACTGCTTCATTTGCCTTGTCTAGCGGATTGACACCAGCCCATGTGGCCTTCTTACACTGCGCGCCAAGCGCTGCTGCTCAGACAGCCTTGTGTACCGCAGCTTGGGCGCAGCCCTTGAATGCAAGACAAGCAGCTCGCCTTGTGGCTGCCGCAGCGCATGCCGGTACCGGAGCACCCGAGCCAACAGGCCTGGGCAGTGCCCTCTTTGCTGCTGGCCTAAATCTCTGGGCGGATGAAGCTTTTGTTGCGCGCGGAGATAGCCGACTCCACCAAAACGTAGCGCTTGTACGTTCGCCTATACGAGGGCTCGGTCAGCTGGCATACCCTGCAATTTGACAAGGCCCCCCCTTCCCCATCTTTGCCTCTCCCGTTGTAGCTGCTGGCCGCTTGTTTAGGCTACTTGCCCTGCGAAGCTTACGCAAGCATTCCCGACCTCCAGTCTCGTATGTTGTATTGTCGACCCATGCATGGGTAGCCGAACCACCGGCGATTTGGGCAGATGCTGCTATGCTTGCCTGCGCTCATCAAGTCGTTCGCGCACATCAGGCGTTCTGCAGGGTCTGCAGCACCGGCTGGGCTGTCGAATCCCACTCGTGCGCTTGTGCAGCCTGGCTCTGGCCGAGCAGCTGGCAGTCAAGGTGTTTCAGAGCAACGACTCACCGCCCACGGGTGATGCCGAAGCTCCGTTTCACCTCGACTTTGATCTCAATGCCGAAGATCCTTTGGTACAGGTGCGAGTACTTTGCTCTGATTGAAAGCACCTCAGTTCGTCTTTGCAGCGCTCACGCCTTCTCTCGTAACCACCGCAAATATTGCGTTTTGACTTTTTGGGCAGGCGGTTCGTGAGCTGGCAGCCGGACCACTGCCTCCGGTTGACGACGAACGACTTGCACCTACGTCTTCAGAAGCCACCGCTCCACGCACGGGTGGGGTTTCGTTGTGCTTGTTTGGCGTGCTGTCCTTGATGCGTGCTCCATCGCCTCTGCTATCGGCAAGCAAGTCTCTTCTTAATGGGCGTTGGTGCATTTCTTAATGGACGGCTGACCTGCAGATACAGGTGCTGTGGCGGGATCTGAAGATGCGGCATCGCCCGCGCCAGCCTCGGGCTCACCGTCCGTGCAGCCCACCGAAGAAGCATGGGATAGTGACGATGAATTTGAGCCCCTGCCTGCTTATGCGCAGCCCATGCCTACGGGCCCGCGCTATTTGCGCGACGCACTTGAGGTGCGCCGGTTCCTTTGACTTGCTTGCGCTATTGCCGCGCGCTGTTCTTGATGGGCTTGAGCTCAAACCAAGTCATCGGCCGTGGTCCTTGCTGATAGGTTCTTGGCGAGAAGGACGTTGCCTTTGAACGCTGGCTGGAGGGTCTCAAGAGCCTGGCGGAATTGACTGCGCAACAGCCAGCAGATCTCGCCGAACTGGCGGTGCCGTTGCTTCGCCGCCTCTTGCGCTTGGAAAACTCATTCAACGAGCAGACCTTTGATGGTTTGAAACAAACCATCATGGTCAACATTGTGGTGGCCCAGCCTACCTTGAGTGCTCCATTCTTGACAACGACGTTCTTTGAGGAGGAAATGGCCCTTCAGCACCGTGATCTACTGCTGACTGTCATAAATGGCGCGGCACAGCGCCTGTCAGGCCGCAGCCTCTTGGATGACCAACACACTCCGCCTGCTGCCCCCAGCACCACTTCCACCGCCACTTCCGTGGACCCATCCAGCAAACCACCGGATCAGCCAGCCACCCCTGAGGCCATCATTCAAGCCCGCCTGGCCCAAAAGACGCGACGCTTTCACTCCCGGGCCCGAGCCACAGAATGGGGTGAGAGCCGACCCCCTTGCCTTTTCTAGTGGTGTGAATGGCATATTCTTTTTGAAATGCTTTCTGTGCCCTCGGAGCTCATGCCACGACGTGTGCCACGTGCTCCGCCCCAGGCCGTGCCAATGCGTTTGCTGAGATTGGGCCACAACTATTCTATCCGCTTGTCGCATACCACGACCGCCGCGTGCGCACGATGCGTCTCATGGTGCGTCGAAAATATGTAGCAACCGCCAAGTGTACTGGCGCTGCGCCTCATTTCTTCTGCATCTTGCTTCCGACCACAGGAGGACGATACGTGGCTCCTGGCAAATCTCATCCGCACGCTGAGCACCATCATCTACTGCATGGGACCAGCGCTTGCCAACGCGCATGCCATCTCCACATACATTGAGTGGGTTTGCTTTGCAGAGAGTAGGCCTGACGCGGGCATGTTTACTCATCGCTTCCCGCTGTGCCAGGTTTATGCTCTCGCTGGACCCCCGTGGCAGCGCCAACGTGTTGCTGGCAGCATGTGCGGGCCTTCTCATGGCTCTGCGTGTGGCGGGCGAGGGCCTCATCGTGGAGGACTTTGTATTGGCCATGGGCACGCTAGATAGTTGGCTCGAGGTGAGGGGTTTAAAATCTTGTGGATGCTGCATGGGTGCAGCCACTCACATTGCCTCATGCCCCTGCCCTCGCATCTTGTGCTTGCAGAAAATCATGGTTTCGACAGACTTTGCGCCGCTCCAGCGACTGAGCGCCATGACGAGAGCGGCGCTCGGCGCTTATCGACCCAAGCTTCTTTCCAATGTTGCATAATCGATTGATACTAGCAGGGCAGGAGGTGGTCAAACACGCGTGCTCAACGAGACACCTTCTTTTGCGTCCGTTTGAACACGTTCCCCATTACTCGACCTGGGAAACTGTTAAATACCAAGCAATCCCACGGCCTCCATATGCCTTGGTTCCTCTCGTCCTCTAAAATGAAACACACCCACGCAGTCACACACACCTTCCCCCCACTTGTCATTCCATCTACATGTATCGCCAGCCCCCCCTTCCCCCCCGAAAAAAAATAAAAAATCAGCTACGGCTCGGCAAGTGCTGCCGGAGGCTGCTCCGCAGCGTCTCGTGGAAGGGGGTCCTTGAACAGACGCAGTTTTTTGAGGCACTTGGGTGCTGTTGAGCGATAGATGGGGCGGGTGGCGAGTGCCGTGGCTTCCATTTCCGGGTGCTCGATCCACACGTGATGATCTAGCTCGCTGGCTCGCAGCTTCTCGCTGAGACCCAGCAAGGCTGGCTGGTCTTTGATCTAATAGCGAGGGCAGACGAAGGTGGTGGGGGACCACATGGTAAGCCTGTTCCCAGCACCAAGAGGCCTAAGGCTTCAAAAGCTTGCGAGCGCACGAGCAGCACAACTGCCAGTTTCAGTGTAAACGAACCTCCACCAGGACAGTGTGCATGCGCTCCAGGTCAGCGACATATGCCAAGCTCTCGGGCTGCTCACGAAACCGATGCATCGCCGCCACACTCGCATGACAGGCCTGGGTCATGACTGCACCAAAGGGCCAACGCAACCCGTTGGCCAAATCAGCCCGCACGACAACATACTGCACAATCGGATCAGCCTTGCGCACCACGGCCGTTGCTGCTGCTGTCGCCGCCATCGCGCGCGCGCGTGCGTGTGTGTCTGTGTATGCGGGGGAAAAAAAAAAAAACCAGAAAAAAAAAACAGAAAAAAAAAAAAAAAAAAAAGAGAGAGAGACCGCAATGTCAGAAAAAAGTATTCAACTCTTGACCGTTACAAAATGGTTGAGCCTGTGAACATGGCAACTTCGCCAGCTCAAGTGGCAGCCGGCGTCGACGATGTGGTGCGTGGTCGCGTGGGGGTAATGAGCGCGGAGTAAATGTGGCTACGTAGTAGTGCTCAAAGCAGGTTGCTTTGACTTGTTGCCAATGCATGATAGGAGAGGTTTTCTCCGTATCCTTTTCCCGACCAGATTTGTGTGCCTGGAACAGATGCCGAAGCGGTGGTTCAAAGAGAGGATGCATTCGTCTCGGCTGTTCATTACATATCTCAAACGGCAGTCGAGTACAAGCTAGCCATGTGGACTGCACAGACTGGTGACGGAAAGCGGAGTCGGGTCTGTATTCCGCTGGGGCCAGGTGACACTCGCTTTCGGGGTCTAGATCCCAACATCGGAGAGGAGCTATCCCGTTACAAGCCCAGGTAAGTTCTTGTCCTGAACACGGATGGGCAGCAGCACAATGCATCAACCACGACCCTGTGCTTTTTGTGTCGTTAGCCCACGCGACGAGAGCTTGTTTGCTCTGTGTCAGCAACGGTATCCGTGCGATAAACGCCATGTACAGGGCCAGGTGATCGGTTTGGTCCGTAAGGAAACGTCGAGGGATCGATCTGACAGCGCGGATGTCATTTTTACTGCTCAGCGACAATGGCAGACGTGGGCTAGTCTGACGCGACTCGGAGCGATGTAAGCGACGTGATTCAGCCAGTGTGTCAAGGTTGTGCCTAATGTAACAGCTTACGCATTCTTTGAATGTGTCCAGTCTGCGTCCTTCACTGGATCAACTTCGGCTCGCATTCGCGGGGTCAGAAATGCACCTACTGGGACAACCTCCGGCTCCTGGTTCACCCGACGATGACGAGCATCAAGCAAGAGAGCTTCTTTTTTACGTGGAAGCCATGCTTGCGAGTACTTACAACCACTTGCGAGCGATTCATCGCCCCGAGCTCCCTGCGTTGTGTACTTTAATCTCACGGCAGGAAGATGGCTCAAATCGCATGCACAAGCCTTTTTACCGCATGCTGAGTGTCCTGCTGGACTGGTTCTCAGACGATTTTCCGGAAAAGCGCGAGCCAGGGGAAGGTGCATCAGAGCGGCAGCCGGCCATGCTGTGGACTCATGTAAGTGCCTGTGCCGTTGACAGCGTCTCTTGGATATTCAGTTGCATTTGACCCACCGATCATGCCCACCAATCGTAGCTCGCAAGTAACTTAAAGTCATGGGAGCAGATGCGCCGCATGCGCACAGCGGTGCAGTTTGGCGTGACCGTGCGAGAGCTGAAGCTGTACAAGGCGAATGTCGCGCATGGCACGCTCATCAGGAAACGCATTTCTGATGAGGCTTTGGCATTTTGTGCTCGCCCTGACTTGTCTGACGGTGAAGAGGAGTTGGACTCTGCGCATACTGTGAACGAGGAAATCAATCAGCCAGGCCGACGGAACCGTGTCCAACGACAGTGCGCACGGTCTGGTGCTTCTGCCAAGCGCAGGAGTAGTGGTATGTCTGACGTGCCTCGCAGTCAAGCGTAAATATGGTGACTAGAGCAGTTTCCTCAATATTGTGGCACACCACCCCACCTCTTGACAAACTAGAGCGGTTCCTTTCCGAAGATGGGGACGAGGACGAAGGTACTGGAGGAGCGGATGCGATTAAGGCCGTCATAGCTGACCTCTGGAAAAAAGAAAAGGAGCGCTGTGAGGACGAAGAGAAGAGACGGCGGGCAGAGATTGAGCAGTTGACAGCTCTTGTGCAGGAACAGAGAGCCCTTGTGAAGCAACAGGGCGAACAACTGCAGGCCATGCACGGTTTGATGGAGAACTTGGTTCGAGTCGTCGACAATCTTGACCGTGTCACCTCCACCTCCCCGTCGCGGTATGATGCTGTTAATAAATACTACTACTATTCATGTGTCATCACTTACGAAGCCCGTTCTCGATCCCACTTGAGAGGGTCGGACTGATTTGTGCTTTTCTGGAAATTGATTGTCATGTTGGCGTGTGGCATGTAATCATTCGGGCCGCACGTTTGCCCTGGCCATGTGCCACAAAACTCGCCGACAAACTTGGGCCATCGCGTGCGCCACAGCGATTTGCAATCATGTTGA